ATTTCATAGAAAAGCCGAGAGAGAGCTGTTAATGCTGCAGCGGCCTTACATTATAATAGGCCTAGAAATAACATTGTTTAGTAACATTGTTTAAGTATCTACGGAATCACTCGAGGTACGCCATCCTTTCCTGGAGTAAGAGCGAATACTCGAGCCAGTGGCCTACGCATTGGAGGAAGATTCTCGTCCTTGACCAGCACCAAATCATCTATGCGAAGAGGTCGACTATATTCCTAACGCCCACGAGCCCAAAACATCTGCTGAAGGTGTGTTACTTTCTGCAATCCGACTAAACGATTGTAGTTCAGAGCAGTCAAGTCAGGCTTCACAAGAGTCTCAGCATGTCCGCAAAGAAGAAAGTGTGCGAGAGTCAAAACATCAAGGTCGCCTGGGTTTTCTGAAATCGAAACTAAAACCCGAGAAAAACGATTGCAAAAATTTGAAGGACGAGGGTACGCAGCTCCTCAAAACTGAGAATCGATATTCCAACGCAGCGATATAGTGCGATATGATGCTTCGCCGTCTTAACTGCTGCTGGTGCGCCAATCGACATTGTCAGCCAGAGAAAATTGGCTAATAGCAGAAGAGTGAGCGTCGCTCAATGCTAAAATACTAATTGTATTAATTCCTTCAATTCATTTTTAGCGCCGACACAGTTTGTGGGTTTGTCACTCCAAATTTGATTAGGTTTGCCTCGAGTGGAAATAAACCGCTTAAGGGCTCCTAAAAATGAGTTCGTTAGCAAGCTGAACAAGCTCCAAATACACGGCCTTGTTGATGAAACAAATTAAGACCGAGATGTAGCACTTTCTGGTAGTAGACTTCTAGTAGAAAGGACCACAATAGTAGACTCCAGTAACTGGAAATCGTCGACTGCAATAGCCCGAGATCCAGCCAATCGTTCCTTCGGAAGGTTGCCCATGAGATGCTCAATAAAAAAAATAAAAAAGATGCTCGAACCACTCCTGAGACAAATTTTAACCCGCCAATAGGCCAGAATTGCAAACTAAAATTTGCCTGCAGTGCGCGTGGGCCTGCGTGCAGCTGTCGTTCATGAAAGCTCCGAATAAAAGACAGAGTTATAGGATGGTGTTTGGGCAAAATCATTGGGTGTCTAGCATCGTATGAAAGTGACGAATTTTTCAAACAGTCTCCAACGCGTAAAGTGTCATACTAATTTAGAAAGGGCAGTAGCGACGCAATAGAGCTTAAGTTTTTGATAATTCCCTTAGACTGCAACTCCTTAATTTCGTCCTATATATGCGCACGCAGGACGAGCCGTAAAAGAATTTTAGTTCCGTGCAAAATGTCGGAAACCCAAAGCCAAGGATGGCGATTACAGGAAATAAATTTGGAGACGTATCCAAATCTTCATTGCATGGCAGGGAATGATTAGGAATAATAAACTTGCAATTGATAGTAATACCCAGATATGGGGATTTACTTACTAGCACGCTCTTTCTGAGCTCAATTAGTGGCCGTTTAATTATACAAGAGGCCGGCCAGTATTTTGAACCTTGTGTAAGAAAGGGCGGACCATAAAACCAAAGCTTAGATGGAATCACTTGATTAGGAGTTGCACTTTTGGAAAGAATATAAGCAGGGTTAAGTTCGGTCTTTACATAATACCAATTCATGCCGCTTGTTAGCTGGTGAATAGCCGCCTCTTCGTTGCCGACGAATACATTAAAGTTAGAAGGTTCGTGCATGATCCAAGGAAAGGCCACTGATGAATCACTACAGCAGAAATATTTCTCATCGAAGCAATCCAATCTGCATTACGGAATTTATAAGTTGAGACAACAATAAGGCCCCCGAAAGCTTCAGCTTCGGTACCGTCAATGTTTTTAGACTTCGAGCACAGTAGATGACTAATAGCCTCCTCGGACTCAGAAACAATGTACACGCAAGCTCCGTACGCTTCCATGCATCATCTTCTACGGTACCAGAAGTGATAGCCGATCCATCAAACACCACGCAAAGCTTAGTCATTGTACTATCCTCCTTCAAAACATAATGATGTTGCAGAAAATACCTGCACAAAGAAATATCCGCAGAGTTAATCAGAGACATGTGATTAAGGATTAGATACTCATGAATAAAGGCCGAATATTGTTCTCTGAGTCGAGGCTCTAGTTTGCGCTCCAGATTTAAAAATCTACGGTGAGCTTTCGCGTAGGACTCACCTAAATTTGTGGACTTGGATTTAAATGGCAAATGCACAGACTACTCACCTGTGGGTAATCGGGTGTACGTGTGAGCAAAATGCCTCCCGCAATCAAGCTCCTCCTTGGTTTTAGCGCAAACTGCCTCATTGCAGCTCTCTACCTCCCAGAGCCGGCGAACAACTTCATCCACACTATAATCACTGTAGAGGTATTAAAATGGCGCTGACCTCCACCAGAAACCACCGAACAAGGCCAGTTTTTTTTTTAAAGTGACATCTTTATCTTCCCGACGCATAACAAATCATAGAACATGCATGCTCCAATCAGCAAGTCTATACGCTGAGGCTTGTTGAAGGCAGGATCCGCTTACCGAATATGGGGTGGAATATTCCAGTCTTCTATGTTCAAGACGATGCAGGGTTGATGGTCTGTTATAGTAGGGGTAATGAATAAACGTGGAATAGCTTGATGTCTGAAATTGTAAGCAAATATCGAAAGTAAATCCTTCAGTTGGCATACTTGCCTCACCGAAACCCGAAACTAGAGACCTGAACGAGTCCTTTTGAGCTGCAACTGCTGCGCAAAACGAGAAGTCACCAGATGCAACTGGGAGCCGGAATCAAGCAATGCCCTGCTGGGTATGAATAACCCCGAACGGCTCTTTACGAGTTCTACAGCTGTGGCTAGCTGAACAACATCGGAGTGGGATCCTGACCCATTTGACAACTATTAGACTGGGAGACTGGAGTTTCGATTTCAGGATAAACGGCAGAAAAGCAAAGGGATAACTTCCTAATTTCAGCATGGTGTAATGTGGGATATGAATTTCCAAACGTACGGCAATATTGAACAGGATGGTCAGTAGCAATGCAGAATGCGCAGGGCGTGCTGTTAGTTTGGGAGGCCACAAACGTTCTTCTATATGAAATCCGCATACTCCGTGTATCCTCCGGAGAACGAAGGCAACTTCAGCTCTGGAACACGGGAACGCTTAGCCGTGATGAATATGAGCACGCAAAGGAAATTTAAGATGTAAAGCCATTTCATCAAATTCATCTCGGCGTTGGCTGCCGATTTCTTTAAAATCGAGAGCTTTTGGCGAATCTTTATGCCGCCTATATGCAGTTTTAATTTGGTCATATCGACTAAATCAATTTTATACATATTAATTGCACTAGCAATAACCTTAAGCCGGTCAAAATAAACGTCGGGTTTGCGCTTAAGAAAGTTATCAGAAAGCGATGAAAAGGTAGGCACATCAGCAATAGACATGTTATTATTGTGTCACTACTGTGACACTGTGTAACTACGTGTCAGCTTCACACAAAAGCAATTTCTAATTATTCGGACGCAAACTTCTTCGCCAGACTGTATATGTAAGCAATAAATGCGCCAACTAAACGCTTGTCTGTATGTTTGTCCGAAGCTATGCGCAGTCAAACAGCGAAGAGAAGAGGCAATGTGCATACAAAATAACGGAATCGACTGCTTAACAATTGTCGGTCTGCAAACCTTTATTCTGTAGGCGATAAACACTAACTTGTTTTTAATTTTTCACTTCAGCCCATAAAATTCCTTTATTTTTTATTGGATTTTTTTTAGATTTTAAATCCACTGCACAACAATATCACGTCGGGATCACCAATGTTTGTGCTGGCAGCTTTTCGGCAGCTTACTTTTCCAATTTTATTCTTTTTATTTCTTGTCAATTTGCGCTTAGAATAGCGGCGACAACAACAATGGTATTTGGCAGCAAAAAAATTTGCCAACAATGCTTAGCGATCAAGAAAAGAAGAGTGAGTGACAAACAATACGAATCCCGCTGCCGGCTGATATGCATTGCATAGAAAAACCGAGAGAGAGAGCTGAGCTGCGGCCTTACATTATAATAGGCATAGAAATAACATTGTTTAGAATTAAGTATCTACGGAATTCGATTTTGCTTTTAAGAAATCATAAGGAGTTGGCTGCTGTCGACAGGCAGAGTTTTGCAGGAATGAGTAGGAGTACCAGGGGCCTGTAGATAGGGAATTTGGTTAATTTTCTTTTGTGTGGCCCTTCGTTTCCTATTAGTGATTTTGTAGTGATCGTCGTCGGTTTGTTAGATGTTCCTTACTGGCTTATACGTGTTTTCTAATTTTCCTTTTTGGAACGGTCCCATTCTGTATCTAGTGTCAACTTCGTATTCTGTTCTGGTTTTTATTATTTCTTTAATTTTGATTTTATTGTTTTGATGAGTATCTAACGTCGGCTGTCCAGAGTAGATAAATATGTGAGCGGAAGTTTGTCTTGTAGTATCGTTTCTATACAATCCTTTATCCTTATCTGTTCGAGGGTAGCGAATTTAGAATACATTTTTTTTATTTTTTTTCTTTTCTTTTTACTATGTTTTGCTATTTCTTCTTTAACATAAGGGATTCCTAAGTCTTTATAGATACTTATGGATCATTAACAATTTGTTTTAATATTTTTGATTCGTAGCGTTGTAGAATTTCAATATTTGAGTTGTTGGCAGTACCCCAGAGCTGTATGCCATAAGTCCATAAGTCGGGCTTAGTATAGCTTTGTATAAACGGACTTTATTTTCCAGAGTGGTTGCAGATTTTCAGAAAAGTAATCAAGTCATCTTCAAAGGTGTTGTGAGGCTTCCTCTTTAGATGAGCTGGTAGCTAATATAGCTGTATCATCCGCGTATGTTGCCACAGTGCAGGTATTTGTTGCCGGCATATCGGCCGTGTACAATATTTAAAAAATGCTGCCAGGTATGCAGGTTGACTACGACATGCCTATAGTTAAATATTATGACTCTTTCTGAAGACCAGGCAAGAGGAACTCCAATTACACATACCATACTTAGAGAAATATTTTCTAAAATACAATGCACTATGGTCCCAAGGACATTACTAAAGCATTGGGCTTTGAAAACATTCCCGGCGGCTACTGACTTTTGGCATTCCCGTAAAATGGTAAGCAATATTACATTTTTATATAAATCTATTTATTTATCACCTGTTTCTGATGACCTAAAACTTTGTGTTGTAAGTACCCAATATATACCTTATTTATATTTGTATATATCAAGCAGGACACTGCTTTTTATACGCCTTACTCATAGAGTAAAAGGGTATACTAGATTCGTTGCAAAATAAATAACAGGCAGAAGGAAGCGTTTCCGACCATATAAAATACAAAATATGTAACAGACAGAAGGAAGCGTTTCCGACCATATAAAGTATATGTCGGAGCATAATTTTGCATGTGTTAGTGTATGGGTATTCTGGTAGTGTATTTCATCATAATGGAAATATTGCATCAGCCTCTATTTGCGCAGTTATTGGTTGCCTGTAGTTTGTAGTTTTGGGAAGAACCGTTTTAGCGCGGCGCCAGCGTGTTGTCGCTGACGCCGAGTGTGGTTCGATGGTAAGCACGGAGAAGAAGAGTGCGACACAAGGCAGTTGTGCGTAGTACTTCAGTGCGATCGGAACTCACTGCGCTAGCATTATGGCAAATAACAACGAAACTGCGACATATATATATTCTTGATCAGGATAAAAAGCCGAGTCGAACTGGCCATGTCCGTCTGTCCAAAAGGCCTCGATCTTAGGAACTACAAAAGCTATAATGTTGAGATTAAGCACGAAGCTTCCGAATACATAGACGCAGCGCAAGTCAAAATGGTGCCACACCTTTTTGCCATGCCCACTCTACCGCCCACAAACCGCCCAAAACTACCCCGCCCATATTTTTAAAAATGTTTGGATATTTTTTCATTTTTTATTAGTCTTGTAAATTTCTACCGATTTGTCAAAAAAAGTTTTGCCACGCCCACTCTACCGCCCACAAACTGCCCAAAACTGTCACACCCACCCTTTTAAACAATTTTTTTTTCATTTCTTAATTTTTTTTCCGATGATCAAGAACATACAATTTTTTTTGGCACTTCCACTAGCGGAGTAACGGGTATCTGATAGTCTTGAACTCGACTATTGCAACTATCTTGTTAGGTTTGGAAAGCAGTAAAGTCTGCAATGCAATAAATCTGGAGTAAAATGACATGCATACTGGCATTGCAAATGGACGTAATCAGCGGGTATCATAGATTGGGAACCTTCTAGTTAGGGGTGACTAGAGTAATAAGGCTATAGGAACTGTGATAGGTAGAGACTGCACTACGATCCATCAATGTTGTCAGGTTTAGCAAGTCCGTTTCTCTAAGGCTGCAGTGTGCTTCTTCGTTTCTTCGTTTCCCAGTTTGTGGATTTAGGGCGAATGGACAAAAACGATTTCAGAAAAGACTATAGTACTATTTTATTAATTGGCACCTTAATTAAACTTTAAACTGTGGTAGTATTGCATATTAGTATAAATGATGCTGGAGCTAGTGAGGATCGCCGTGAAGTAGACAGCCGTCGTTTAACCTGGAATCACGGAAAGTGAAAAGGCTCAAGCATATGGAGTAGAGTTTAAAAGGTTCCACCTCAATTTTTTAAATTAATGAAACAGTATAGACAGTATTAGTTGTGGGAAACGGTTTGTTACATCAATACCAAGCCTGAGCTCAGACCAATGTTTCATTGTGCGGTCTGTGATTTGAACTGCAGAATTATTATTACGATATGACCCAGTGCTCTATACAGCGAATCATAATCACGTAATTTTAATAAAAAATGAAAACCAAAATATTAGGTCAATTGTTTAAAAGAATGCCCACTGGATATGGCAATGAGCAAAATTACACTAAATTTATTGTAAAGTAAACGTTTGGGTTGATCTGCTAAAAAGAAAAAAAAATCCGTAGATCAATTTAAAGCGGGAGAAGAATACAACATTTACTTAGTATGTTGATGTATAGCTTAAGAAAATGAATATTGGAATACGTATACGTAAGGTACCAACGTAACTTTAGCTTTTAGAAGTAGACTTTATTTGTCTTTTCAGAGGGGATATTGGAATACACCAGTTTTATAACAATAATTAATTACGGGTTTAATCTGCTCGAGCCCTGACGACCATATTATATAGCTTTCAAAGGAATAGTCAACAAATTAATTGGGATTTGTACTTATGTCCATCCGTTTCTATTTGTACTCTACTTAAGCTAACCATTGAAAAGTAAAGAATAAAAATCCAACCCGGTTTTATTTATTTGTCAAAAATTTAATTTCTGCGGTCTACTAACTAGACTCAAAAATAAATAAACGTTACTACGCAATGTACGGGAACGGGAAAAATCTGACTACTATATCAATTGGTTCCAAAAATAAATGGAAACAAAACAAGACAGAACGCTTATAGTATGGCAATGCTTATCGGTATGGCAATTTTACGAGTTCGTTCTACTTGACCATTGCCTATAGGTAATTTAAGAGTTTTCAGGTATCTTCTTGGTGCCGAAGTGGCCTTCTTGTGTGCTACGCTGATGATTTCATCTTCCAATTAACAGCGTCCTTGAAAATAAAATTAAATTTTTTAATTTTTTTTTCTTTAAATTTTTTTTTAAATAATTTTTATTTCAACAAAACCTAATATCATGTTCTAACTCCTTTCCAGCTTACCTTGCAGTTAGCTTTGGCGTTCTTATGCGAACACGCTTTAAATCTTACTCGTCTGAATGCGGATATGATGTACCTTCATCAAGACTCAGGACTTATCTTATTTCAAGTTCGATGTGAATGATGATGTGCCAGCTTAATCAACACAGACCTGTACCATTTTGTCTGACTCCGAATGTTGGTGAATTTATAACACACTTTGGAATAACTGGACCGTTATCTGCAGCAATTGTGGCAACAGCTCGGTGCTTTATTCAACCAAATTATAAATTATGCTCAATATTGCAAACTATTTTAAGAGATGAAATAATAGCCCTTAAAAAAAAGGGTTCAGAGAATGCAAACTAATCAAAGGATCTGAAGACCGTTATTCCGAGGGAAATTGTATGGAGCACACAGTAAACATTGTGAATTCAGCGGTGGATATCATAATGACGCGTTTTAATAAAATATCTTATTTTGATAGCATTGAAAATAAGAAGATTTCCATGCTCGTTCAATCAGCAACTAACATTGATAATCTTTGTCGTATGGATCCTGCTTGGCATCCCTGGCTATAATATTCTATTTTATTATCCAAGTGTTGCAGTAAACATTAAATAAATAAAAATATATTTTGTATTGAAAGCCACTAGCAACCCTATAATAAATGATTACATTTGATGGCAAATGACTTATTTACTCGACTAACTGATGCAGAGGGTGTTAAACATTTTTCAAAATATCGACCATAAAATTAAAGGCCGAATAGTAATTTTTCGTAAAAAACATTGAGTAAATAAAAAAACCCGTAATTTAATTCGTAAGATAGATCTCATTTTACAATGTTGATTGTGTCCTGGAAAGAGGACTTGGATCGAGGGAGAGGAATCCGGTGTTCAGGCACCAGTTTGCCAGCATAAGCTCACCGTATTTGAGTCGTGTGATCTTGGCTGTGTTTTGGCCTAATTACCTCCCTGTTAAAACATCCGTGTGCTAAATTGATAGTCGCGGACCGCAATATATTCTCTTTGTCCGTCAAAGTAATGTCATCGTTTTTGACCTACTCCACTAACCCCTACAAACTGTATTTTCCACCTCATTCTGTCGTATTAGGTTTCACATTATAAATTTATTGAATAAAATATATGGGTCGGGGCTTTGACTTGTAAGCAAATAACTGTAATACATTTTTTTTTAATTGATAATTTAATTGACTATTCACGACTACGAACGTAGTCGCCCCTGAGGCTTAGGGCCGGATACTGAGGTTACGTTTTCCTTGTTCTTTCGAAGTATAGGATAACTTCTGCTCCGGAAAACTCGGACTTCTTCGAATTCAGAATATGCAATTTAACTTATGCTCTCTCGGGATCCAGACTAGAATCCCCTCTTCATAGCAAGCCGAGGTTTTTTATACCGGGCTAATTATTTGTCTACCCCTGTAATTTGGTTGGTTTAGGTAAGTGTTCCCATCTATAAGTAATATTTAACTATTTTGCCCTATTTTTGGAGTCAACGGCCGACCGATAGTTTGGCTGTTTCAAGGACATTTCTTTAAGAGGTGGGTATAATTTGTTACTAAAAATAAGTTTCGTATTCTGTACTGTTGAGAATATAATTTGTCGTTTGTAGTGGTTGATGGCATTTTCTAATAAACCTATTAAATTCTTCATCTGCGCTGTGGATTCGCCAAAAAATGTTTGTTCTATTGTTACTCTAGAAAGTGCGTCTGCGACGTGGTTTTCTTTTCCTTTAATGTGTTTTACAACGACGTCATAATCTGAAAGTCCTATTTTCCATATTGTTAGTTTTGCATTGGGCTCTTTAGGCTAGTCTAGCCAGCATAATAGTTGATAGTCAGATGCTATCTCAAAATGTCGTCCTAGTAAATAATTTCTAAAAGCTTTGGATGCCCAGACTATTGCTAGACTTTCCTTTTCTATGGCTGTAGTTAACTTCGTGTTACCGAATACTGATGTTACCGAATGGCCGTCTTGCAAGAGCTACATTGCTGGCATCGGAAATTAGTAATTTTAATTTTTGAAATTCTCCGTTTCGTTGGTATCTCATCTTTTAGCACATTTTTTGTTAACATTTTGGATAAGGGTTTGCGATGTCGGAGAAGATTGGTATGAATTTCATTTAATATCCTGTGAGTAATAGGAATGCTTTAATTTCTTTTAATTTTTTTGGTAATTGGAATTTAAATATGTTTTTATTTTGTCTGGGTTTGCTTTAGTGATAACATGTCTGTCGCGGAACGGATTTATATTGATCGATAGTTAAGCGATTCAAATGTAACGCCACTGGTTTTGTATCGAGGATTATTTTGATAGAATGCGGTAACACAAATAACGCGGTATGTAGACAGTTAACTTTGGATGTGATGCTAGGCTACATCTTGTATTTTATATAGAATAAAACCCGTCAGCCCCTGTTCATCAGTTTGTCGCAGTGTTGTTATTTTCTTGTGTATGATCTGCCATGTTGACACACAAAATTCTCGAGTGAAGCGAATTCCAACCGGCGCGTGCAATCGCCTACATGCAACTGCTCGCATTTTCTACGCGTCGATCTATGCTTTACACACGCTAGCTGGACTACACTTGGCGACAGCGCGACAGTACTTTGGCGCCAGTCATATTCTGCGTCGTAGTCAAATTCTAAGAATGATTTCACAATATACCAAACTCATTGCGCAGTACACACGTACAGTGGTCAGAATACATCAGAATACAAGCGACATGGCCTTCCTTTCCTTACACGTCCTCGTGTGTTGTCTTAAATCTACCACATAAGTGACAATACTTCAGGATTCAAAGACTCTCTGAATATTTCAAAGAATTCTTTTCATTCAATCTATTACCGATTCAAATCAGTTTCAACTTCATTCTTATCATAACATGATTAAATTATTTAAATTTTCATAACATAATTTAAATTTAATAAATCATACCATTCGTGTAATTCCTTTAGGACATTTTTTTTTTAATCTTTTTAAACCAAACAAATTTTGTAGTTCCTTTTACAAATAATTAACTTATCATTCGAGTAGTTCCCTTCACACATAATTAACTTATCATTTGTGTAGGTTCTTTAACACATAATTATCTTATCATTTGTGTAGTTCCTTTAGCACATACTTAACTTATCATTTGTGTAGTTCCTTTAACACATACGTAACTTATAATTTGTGTAGTTCCTTTAACACATACGTAACTTATAATTTGGGTAGTTCCTTTAACACATACGACTTATAATTTGTGTAGTTTCTTTGCCATAACAAGTCTCTTCTGCTATGGTGCGGTCTTCAGTTTCTGTATTGGGCAACAGACACAACTTCTATTGTTCTGCCCCTATCTTTACATAACTCATCGAGTATCTGATTATTTGATATTACTTTTAAACATTCATGAGAATACCTATGTTCGATTACATGTTAAAGATTTTAGCGTATATCTATCTCCATCCAATATTTCAATTATCTTAAATGGCCCTTTAAATTTAGGATCAAGTTTAATTTGATGACGTTCTTCGTTTTTAAGCAAACCGTGAACACCCACTTTGAAATTTACTATTTTAGCTTTATTTTTATCAAACCTATCTTTGTCGTATTTTGCTTGAGTTTCCATGTTCTTTTTAGCCTCCTTTCTCAAATTTGCTTTGTCTACCTTGTCATTGTTATCTTCCTTTAGCGGCAACAAGCCAAAAGGTCGAGCTTCTTTACCAATCAATAATTCCAAAGGGCTAAACTTAGTCACACGATTAATCGTGCAATTCATTGCTAGCTGCACTACAGCCAACACATCCTGCCATGATCTCTGACTAGTTTCGACAGCCGTTAGCATACCTTTCAGGGTACTCATGACCCGTTCTACATGACCGTTTGCTCTACTTGCACCAGTAGCAATTAAATGTAGATTAAATTTTTGAGAAGTGCAAAATTCGCGAAAACTTTTACTTGCGAAACTACGTCCTTGATCTGCTATAATTCGAGTAAACCAAACAAGGACACGGTTGATTTTACAGCTTTCAGAATCTATATTTAGTGTGTGATAAAAATAAACAAACATGGTGAAGGCATCTATAACGACGATGACGTATTCCTTCAAATCATTTTTACCATTCAATTTGCCTGTGATGTCAATATGAATCGTATGCCACGGTAATTCTATTTTAGGAATAGGATGTAGGATGTAGGATGTTCTGGTGAGTATTCGGCCTCTTCCCGACAAAGTACCAAGAACAAAAGGAAATTCTAAGAATTAAAACCGTTTAAAAATGCACTATGCGTGAAGCGAAAACAATGTTCAAGACAACATCACACACTCCGGCTATCACCGCTTCATACTCATCAGTAGCCAAAACAACACATCAACGCAGCGATAACGCAAACCAAAACAAAAATGACAAAATTATTAACGCGTCCATCGACGTAGCCCCGAATAACTCCGCTCTCATTCCCCTTCCACCATTCCACAGTCCCCTATTCCCAGTACCCCCTACCAATCTAAACAATCGAGTCTAAACAAATATAATATAACCTATCCCCTGCATCATTTAAACTATATCAAACAATTCATGAAGAACAGCCCGTCAACATCTTCTATGCAAAATAAATCAACATTGCATAAAAATATTTCAAATACCCAAAAACCGAACAATGAATCTATGAATCTATGAGCGATTCATAATTTCGTAATCCCCAAATTACCTCAAGTCTAACAAAATAATATCCGCCTTATCTTCCCGCTCATACCCATTACACTAGTTCAATGGAATATGAATGGTTACTTTAACAATTACCACGAGCTACAACTCTTGATTAACGATAACAACCCGGATGTTATTTGTCTGCAGGAAACTCATCTTAATGCTTCCCTAACGAATATAGCTTCCCCTAAGCAATTTACTGGATATTTCTATAACTTTATGCCAACCTAAGCAAGGTGTCAGCATACTCGTCCGTAAAGACATTCCACACAGACCTATAACAATAAATGGTAGTACATGCTCTTTAGGTATTGAAATCCTAGCTCTACCCAATATCTGTATTTTTAATACATACATACCTCCATCCCAATTCGTAGCCAGCGAAATTCTTAATATAGTGGATCTCACTACCAAACCAATCGTATATGTTGGTGATTTCATTGCCTGGAGTCCAATGTGGGGGTCC